GAGTAACACCTATAGGAAAAAAGATGACTGAAAATCGTCTAAGGTGGTTTGGTTATATGTAAAGAAAACATTTGGAGGCACCAGTAGAGAGAGTGGATTGCATGACTAGTCCGATAAAAGAAGGGTTGAGGGAAACCCAAAAAACTTTCAACAAAGTTATTAAAAGAGACTTTTGAATTAAGCAGATTTCCTAAAATTTGGTTTTTGACCAAGATTAATGGCATTATATGATCTATGTAGCTGACCTTACCTAGCGGGATAAAGTTTGGTTATTGTCAGAATCTCTAAAGATTAACCTAAATAGAATATTTCCTTGTACAAACAGAATTAAATACTATAATTAAGAGATAATGTTAGTCGTCTGATTTTGTATTTATTGTACTAGAATCCCTTAATTTTAAGAATTATTTGTATATGCAATAGTTTAGGGATTTCATTTATTAGCCACTACTCCATCTGAAAATTTGGGTGTCGTTGAGCTACAGAACATCCAACCCAATTTCTGTCTCAATGGGAAAAAGTGAAAAACTACCTAAAATGGTCTCATTTTGTCCAAACCTTTCTAAAGGGGAAGGGAAAATCGAGTCATCTTACTGACACAGCTCCAAAATGTCAGATCCCAAATTTGCAGCATGGGATGAGGTAGACGCAGTTGTAATGTCTTGGTTATGGAACTCTTTGACACTTGAAGTGAACAATGCCTGCATGTTTATGAAGACAACCAAGGAGGTACGGGACAATGGTAAAGCAAACTATTCCAAGGTGGGTGGCACTGCCCAAATCTATGAGATTAAGTTGAGGATTTCTACTACCAAACAGGGGGATCGTTCAAGCAATGTGTGCCCAAATCCTACAAAATTTGTGGCAAGAGTTAGACCATTATGAGAAATTTAAAGCAAAATGCATTGAAGATGCTGATCTTCTCAAAAGTTATAAGGAGAAGGACAAAATCTATAAGTTCCTCGTTGGATTAAAGAGCGACTTTGATCCTGTTAGAATTCAAGTGCTTGGAAAAGACCTATCCTCACTCAATGAAACAATGGTTGTTTTTCCGGCAGAAGTTGTAGAGGAGTGATGCTGAAATCTCAACTTCAACCAAATGAAAGTTCTGCCTTGGTTGCACAAACCAAGGGAAAGAAATTTAGTAAAGGCCAAATAACTCAATTGGTAAGTGGAGCAAGAGGGATGACAATACCTAAAGGGAAAAATAAGGATTCCCTATGGTGTACTTATTGCAAGAAGTACCGGCACACTCAAGCCAAATGTTGGAGACTTCATGGAAAGCCTCCAAATCCAACCAGAAACTGGACAACTAAAGGAAAGGAAGAGGGCAGGCTCAAGTCCATATGGCACAACTAGGATCTGTAGAGAGCACCTCTTCCAAACCCTCCACAAAGTTTGACTCAGAGGAGATTAGAAAACTAGAGTTATTGGGAACATTAACAAAACCTATGGACCCAGGTAATTGGTCCTTGGTATTCTCAGGTAATATCTCTCAATCCTATGCACTTAGCGTCTTAGATTCCTCTAAAGGAGTATGAGTTATCAATTCTGCAGCTACAGACCACATGACTCAGTAATCTAGAGGTTCTATCTCCAATAAACCATGTCCAAGCAATAAAAATATTGCAACCACAAATGGGACTTTCATATAGTCGTTGGAGGAGATATTATCATAAACTAGAATCTAATTTTGAAAGATCTTTTGCATGTGCCAAAATTATCTGCAAATTTGATTTCCATTCACAAGCTTACAAAAGATTTAAATTGCTTGGTGATTTTTCTCTCATAATCTGCAAATTTCAGGATCAGGGAACGGGGAAGATGATTGGGCTTGCTAGGGAGGACAGTGGACGCTACCTTCTTGAGGAAGCTAACAGGATGTGTAGTACTAAGAGTCAAAATCCTTTGTCTTTATTGTCAGAATCAGCTCTCCAATAAAGAAAAAATTTGATTCTATCACCTTCATTTAGGTCACCCTTCATTTTCTACTCTAAAGGTCATGTTCCCTAGTTTATTTCAACAACTTTGTGTTGAAGTATTTCATTGTGATACTAGTGAATTTGCAAAACATAGACGTGTTAACTTTCCCATTAATAATAATAGAAGGATGTTAGTTCCTTCTCCCTTAATACAAAGTGATGTGTGGGGACCTTCTAATATTCCAAATATAGATGGGGCTCATTGGTTTGTCATATTAATTGATGATTGTACTTGAGTATCATGGGTGTTTCTCTTAAAATAGAGAAGTGAGGTGAGCCAAGTCTTTAAACACTTCTTCCAAATGATAAAAAACCAATTTGAGACCACAATCAAAAGATTTCGTTATGACCATGCCAAAGATTACTTCAACCAAACACTATCTTCTTTCATCAATGAACAAGGAATCATTCATGAATCCTCTTGTGTCAACACTCCACAGCAAAATGGGGTGGTAAAACGGAAAATTGGGCATCTTGTAACTGTTACCCAAGTCTTGCTTCTCCAAAAGAATGTTCCAAAACAATATTGGGAGGAAGCTATCCTTACTGCCACTTATTTGATCAATCGATTACCCTCAAACATTGAACAATAACAGTCCAATTCAGCTATTCTCCAAATCTTTCCCAGACTTCAAAACAACAAACCTCCTTGTTCCTTGGATATTTGGGTGTGTATCTTTTGTCTATGTTCATTCTAATCATCAGTGGAAACTTGACCCTCAAGCTATTATGTGCATCTTTTTCGGTTACGCACCTACCCAAAAAGGATACAAGTGTTATTCCCCTCTAACACAACAACTGAAGATGGTAATCTTCCAATTGCAGTAAGAAAAGGTATTAGAGCATGTACCCAACAGCCAAGGTATCCACTAGCCCACTTTCTGTCTTATGATAAATTATCCAATAATCACAGAAGCTTCCTTACTCATTTAAACACTGTCACTATTCTAAAAACTATTGATGAAGCATTAAATATTAAGAACTGGAGTGATGCTATGAAGGTTGGAATGGATGCACTAGAAAAGAACAAAACTTGGGAGTTGCTAGAATTACCTAGAGGAAAAAAAACTTGTTGGATGTAATTGAATTTTTACTGCTAAATACAAGGAAGATGCAACATTAGAAAGATATAAGGCAATGTTAGTGGCTAAGGGATACACTCAAAACATATGAGGTAGATTATCTTGAAACTTTTTCACCTGTTGCAAAAATGAATTTAGAGTTTTGTTGTCTCTAGCTGCTAACTATGGACGGAGCTTGCAACAATTTGATGTCACAAATTCTTTTTTGCATGGAAAACTTGAAGAAGAAATCTACGTGAAAGTCCCACCTGGTTTTAAAGCTAAGGAAGGAAAAGTGTGTTAGATGAAGAAGACATTTTACGGGTTGAAACAGTCCCAAGGGCCTGATTTGGTAGGTTTACTACTGGGATGAGGCAATGGGGTACAAGCAAAGCCAAGGTGATCATACATTGTTCATTAAACATTCAGCTTCAGGGGGAGTTACTGCACTAATTGTTTGTGTAGATGATATAGTTGTAACAAAAATTATGAAGGAGGAATGGAAGCATTGAAGAAATGCTTGTTAAAAGAATTTGAGATTAACACTGAAAGAGGAAGAAAGTAGTTGTTTTAGTGTTTTTTTTTTTTTTTGCAGGTCACTCAGGTCGGGTGAAAGGCCCAATTTTTTTTTTGCAAAATGTCCACTTTTCTGCCTTGGCTTCAGTTTTTGCCATGACTGCCAGGCATTTAACGGCCGCTATCGTCTGCCATCCCTAAACTTCCATATGTATGGTGATTTGTTAGAAAACCGCCACTGTTTTTCGCCATGGCCACCATTTGATAACACTGCTAGAACTTAAGGGCTTACCCCATAAGAGATCTAAGGAGCATATCAATCCAAGGCAAGAAGAAGGCCCACAGAATGTTTGGGCATATTTCTAACCCCCATTATCTCAAGGAAGAAATAGATAAGCAAGTAAAGGAGTTGCTGAAATCAAGGGTAATTAGACCTAGCACAGGTGCTTATTCCTGCCCAGTACTACTTGTAAGAAAAAGGACCTTAGTTGGCAAATGTGTGTAGATTATTGACCTCTTTATAAGGTGAGTATACTGACAAGTTTCACAACTATTTCAAATGAATTACTTAATGAATTAAATAGAGCTTATTTTTCCAAATTGGATTTAAGATCAGGATACCAGCAAATTGGGGGTAAGAGAAGATATTCCTAAAACAACTTCAGAGTTATTATGGCCAGTGCCCATTTAATATCTAATGAATGATGAGTTTAGGCATCTTTTAAGGAAGTATCCTTGGTGTTCTTTGAAGAAATATTGGTGTATAGTGTTGATTAAAATCTAATATGTTTGGTTTTAGACACATGGGTTGGTGGCAAATCAAAAGAAATGTAACTTTGGCAGGAGAGCAGTGGAGTATTTGGGCCATGTGGTTAGTTTCAAACAAAAGAGGGGCAATGGATCCTACAAAGGTGAGAGGTGTCTTGGAGTAACCAAATCCAAAAACTATAAAAGCAATAAGGGGTTTCATAGGTTTAACTGGGTACTAAAGGAATATGGCCAAATTGCCAAACCCTTAATTGATTTAACAAAGAAGCGAGGGTTTCATTAGGAGAGAAAAGCTCAAGGTATTTTTAATAAGCTGAAGAAGATTATTACAGAGGAACTACTTTTGAGGCTACAAAATTTTACCAAGGAGTTCATTTGTGATTAAATGTGATGTAGCTAATAGAGGATTGGCCGTTCTTTTTATGCAAAAAACTCAATCCCTTTCTAATGGAAATTTGGCGAGGTCTACTTATCATAAAGAACTCACCATTGGTGTCATCAATTCAACAATGGAGACTATATCTTTGGGGGAGGCATATTAAGGTGTTTTTAGATCATAGGAGCCTAAAATATCTCCTAGAGCAGAACTAGACATACAACATATTCCAATGCATTTTTAAAAATAAACCCACAAATGAAAAAGTTAATACAGCAATGAAGACATACAACATACCTCAGCGTCATCATCAAAACTCAATTCATATATGCCTTCATCATTCAACCACAAATTGTAAATTAAAATTTTGGTTCCATGTGATCCAATATCGTCAAACTGAAAAGTATAAACAACCTGGTCAGTAAAAGGAGTCCACAGCTTACCAACATTTTGAATGTAAAATGAAGAGTTTATTAATGGCTCAACTAAATTCAGTTTACTGCATACATCATTTGGAGGTAATTCACATGCTAGTGTTTTGGATAGTGACTTGAGACAAATTAATACATCATAAAGAAAATTGGTGTCAGCATAATAGAAAAAGTCAAGAAATATATATAATGGTATGTCTTAAATTATTTCTCTTTCTAAAATGGGGAAAAAATGGTCTGCTTTAAATTTTTCACTTCAATAAACTTCATAGACATGCATAAGAATGGAATTCCACAACTAACACAGGCATATTGTGCTGAAGTTTAGCTTGTACTAGAAAAGTTGCATATGGTTTTGGTAGAAGAAGCTAAAGTCTTGAGGCAATTTGAAATTTAAAATAGAATTCGGTCCATATCCTTGAAGCATAACCCTTAATTAATGAGGTTTTTATGGCACAATTGATTTGGGATAACATCAGACATTTCAGCTCAGACACAATCTTTTAAGGAGTTTCCTAACAGATACATTGCCTGATAGAACACCGAAAGAAGAAAATACAAGAAATTATGTATTAATGGAAGCAAAATAGTACACCAATATACTACTTGAACATTCCCAGAGCTTCAGCTCCTCTCATGGTTATTCCCTTACCTCTTAGATTCAACTTCCTTCGCCCACTTCTCTATCCTCTCCCTCTCTTAAACCCCACATCCCTCTCCTAACACAATTGGCACTCTCTAACTGCCACTGCCATGCTGGCAGTAGCACGTATCCTTCTCCTAGAGTAAACCTTCTACTCAATGGGCCTTTTTGGGTTTGTGTCAAATAGTTGATCTTCTCCTCAGAGTCTATGGGCCAATCAATACCCCCTCCTGAACTACCTCAGCTGATATCCTTGCCAATGGACTAAAAATTGAAGTTTGTGCTGGCCAGCTTCAGAGATCAACCGTCTTGCTAAAATCTGTTTACCTGCAGTCACATCCTCTGCTTCCAAAGCAGCAGGTAATACTGGACCAGCATCATAATGTCCAATAGCTCGTTTTAGTTGAGACACATGAAAAACCTGGCACTTTTTGGTTCCACAGAAAACTTCGATGCAGGTGAAGTTTCAGAAATACCCATTCCCCAGTGTCAAAAGCCACTGGTTTCCGGTTTTTGTCAGCGTAAAGTTTCATTTGTTGTTAACATTTGGACAAGTGATATTTCAACTAGCTGAGAGCTTCATCCATGTCCCTCAAATCTCTTACAACCGCTTCTATGCAAGATTCACCTTCTACAAATCACACTAGAGTTGGAGGTTTACGACCATATACTACCTCAAAGGGTGTAGTTCATGTTGAAGTAAGAAAAGTGGTATTGTACCATAATTCTGCCTATGAAAGCCAAAGAGACCAATTTTTGGGTTGCTCAGATGTGAAACAACATAAATAAGACTCCAAGCATCAATTTACCACTTCCATTTGACCATCCAATTCCAGATGATATGAGGAGCTCATTTGTAGTTTAGTGCCTTGTAAAGCACATAACTCCTGCCAAAATTTGCTAATAAATAATGGATCTCTGTCACTAAGAATGGATAGAGGCAAACCATTAAGGCGTACAATTTCCTTAGAAAATATTTCAGCTATCTTCCTAGCGGAATAAGGATGTTTTAGCAGAATAAAATGTCCATATTTAGACAAGCAATCAATGACAACCAAAATAGCATCAAATCCTCAAGATTTCGGAAGTCCAATGATAAAATTAAGCGATATATATTCCCAAACCTAAGATGGTATTGGAAGTGGCTGCAGCAATCCGCTAGGAGAAGATGTCTTATAGATTTGTCTTTGACATATGTCACAAGTCTGTATAAAAGCTTGACTTCATCACTTCATTCTAATCCAGTACAAATTCCCCGCCAATCTCCTATATGTTCGTAAGAAGCCTGAAGGTCCCCCAATTGGAGGAGAGTGGAATTCTTGTAACATTAATGGAATGAATGCTGAGTTGGCCGAAATGACTAATCTGCCATGATATACCAGAAATCCATTGTGTAATGAGAAGCTCGGTCTGGACTTGGGATCTCGTTGAAGGTCTGATATGACTTTCTACAAGGCTGGATCACAGTTAACTTCCTCACAAAGAGCTTGGCTTTGTTCCCAGATTGGAAAAGAGACCATAGTAAGGCAATGCTGACCTCATGCACCCTTGACAATGCATCTGCAGCTTTATTCTCAAGGCCTGGTTTATATATGACCTCGAAATGAAATCCCAACAACTTAGCTAACCAACACTGTTGATCAGCTGAAACTACACATTGTTGCAGCGTTTGAGGATGCATTGATCAGTATACACACCACAAAGTCCTCCCAATGAGGTAATGCTGCCAATGCTGAATAGCCAGAACCATCGCCATCAGTTCATTTTTGTATACAGATTTAGAAGATTGCTCTCTAAGAAAGCTTTACTAAAGAAAGCAATGGGTTTTCCCTTTTGCATTGGTACAGCTCCCATGCCCTTAACAGAGGCATCACATTCAATCTTAAATTTTTCAGTAAAGATGGGCAAAGAAAGAACAGGAGCAGTAGCTATTGCCTATTTGAGAGCTTCAAAGGCTACCTGAGTGTTGGTAGTCCATTCAAACCCCTCTTTTTTTTGGTCAACTCTGAGTGATTAAGCCAAACTGCCATAACCTGCTATAAACTTACAGTAATAACATGTAAGACCCAAAAATCCTCGGATGCCCCCTTCACGTTTTTGGGTATAGACCAGTCAAAAATACTTTGCACCTTTTTTTAATCAACTTCCACAGTTCCACCTCTCTACCTGATAAAATATGGCGTAAGTACTCAATCTGGGATCTGCCCAAACAACATTTCTTCTTGTTTGGCAACAAATTGATTGTCAAAGAGCAATTTCAGGGCTTGGGACAAATGCCATAAATGAGTGCTGCAATCACTATTGTAGACTAATATATCATTAAAAATTACTAAGACAATCTTATGAAGGAAAGGCTTGAAGATTTTGTTCATGACAACTTGAAAAGTAGCTGGGGCATTCATTAAACCAAAGGGCGTCACAAGAAACTCATAATGTCCTTCAGTACAAAAAGTCGTCTTGTACACATCCTCCTCCTGCATTCTAATTTGGTGATAGCCTAACTTCAAATCCCACTTAGAGAAATAGTATGATCCGTGCAACTCATCCAAAAGTTCATCCACAATGGGAATAGGGAATTTGTCTGGAACAGTGGCTGCATTCAAGGCCCTATAGTTGATACAAATACACTATGAAACATTTTTCTTGATCAAGATAACAGAGCTAGAGAAAGAGCTTGAATTGGGACAAATGATTCCTTGTTTTAACGTATCTTGAATTTGTCTCTCAATCTTGTTCTTATGATGACAAGGATACTGGTAAGGTCTCACACTAATAGGACCAGTCCCTCTTTAAGAACAATAGAATGGACTATATTTCGAAGAGGAGTTAGGCGATCCATTTCCTTAAATACATCTGTGAAGCCCTCCAAGAGTTGGTGTAATCCCAACTGTTGATTCTCAGTGAGAAGTGACGCATGCTCTGTCTTGGCTGAAAAAGTTGCATGCCATAACAATCCTTCAATCTCTTGAGTTGTTACTTCAACAACACTATGAAAAGATCCCTGTTCATGAGCCACACTATGTATCTTTCTTATGAACAACTGCATCTGTAAACCCCTTTAACTCTATAGCATGACCTTTGTAAATAAAAGACAGCATTTCATGCCAATCAACTGTAACCTTGCCCAAGGTTTTAAGCCAAGCCACTCCAAGAATTACATCCACACCCCCTAAATCAAGAACATTTGCCCTTGGTTATCACTTGGTGTCCATCACCCAACCTCACCCCAATGCATTTGGTGAAATCTATTGTTACGATCCAATTGCAAGGCATGGGACTTGAGTCTCACATTGGAAGTATGAGATTGTAATGTGGGGTTCATAAGGCCTTGGGCTCACCCACTACAATAGCTAGCTTTTGTGGTGTGGTTCTTCCAAGGTTCTTATCAATTGGTATTAGAGCCTTCCACTATGTCTCCCAGCTCTCAAACAAGGGGCGTGGGTGGTGATGCTAATGCTGGCATTGTAGTGTTTGCTTGGGACTAGTCAAAGGGGCTAGTGCACAGTCAGCCCACGTGACCGTCGGAGCTGCGGAGCATGGTGGGATGTTAAGATCCAATTGCAAGGTATGGGACTTGAGTCCCACATTGGAAGTATGGTTCTAATGTGGGGTGTATAAGACCTTGGACTCTCCCATTACAATAGCTAGCTTTTGTGGTGTCACTCTCTCAAGGTTCTTATCATCTACCTCAAGACCCAATGCAGAAACCATGTGTGGGGAAACGAAGTTATCACTAGCGCCACTATCTATAAGGATCATAACTGGAATTCCACTTATGGTACCCTTCAACTTCATTGTCTTTGAATTTGAAAGCTCAAAATTGGTAGCTCCAAACACTCCCATTGTGTTACACTCCAAGTTCTCCTCCATTGCACCATCATCCACCTCTATATAGGAATAACCTCACCTTCCTCATTCATACCTTCTCCATCACCCAGAATTATCATTCATAGGGACTTTTCTTGGCACTGATGCCTAGCATGGTATTTTTCTCTGCAATGAAAACACAGGTCTTTGTTCTTCCTGTCCATGAGTTCCTCATAAGTGAGGTGTTTTACGCATCTAGATTGAAAACCTGTATTCTTTCTATCGCCATCAAATTGACAACCTGACAATGCAACTAAAGAAGTCGCACTGTTTTGTTGATGAGATGAAAAAACCCCTATGGAAAAGGTTTTGGGCCTAGAATTATCTGGAGTCTAGTTTAAAAGGAAACGGGTTTGGACAGGAGTGAATGGACTTGATTGCTCCGAATTCCATCGGGTAGGGTTCCCTCCATTGGCCTTGATGTGATAAGTTTGGTGCCAACTATGACCACGAGCAAGTCCCAATTCCATAATCATTGGCACATCACTTAACTTCCCTTCAATATCTCTTACTAACTTCATCACTATTAGGTTCAACAAACACTAATATAGCAAATAATTGTAAAGAACAAAAGAAATCAGAAATGGAGTAATGTAAATGTAAATGAAATGTATGATATATATGAAAGAAGGTATAAAGGTAGCACTCTCTCTCTCAGTTCACAGAACCAAGAGCCTCCCTCTCTAGGCACAAACGGCCACCCTAATCATTTTCGTCCATAACTAACTGCTCTCTCATCCTTTCCTATATAACTGACTCCCCTTACACGTGTGCCCCCTTTTCCCTTCTAGTGTACATACATCAGATTTTGGGGCCTTTCTACTTGACTCACTAATGGGCCCATATCAGTCACCCTAACAATCACCTGCCCCTTGAAACCGAACTGAAAGTCCTAATTCGATAGCGAATATCAAAACACAAGACACCCATAAAATATCCAAGATACTACTCCTTGTTAGAGATATATGTTTGGTACTCTATTAGAATAGAGCTGCGAGATATAACAGAATCTCTAGGATAAGATTTGTTATGTTCAATCTGATATGAGTTATAACAGAATTCAGTTGTGCTTAGTCAGCACAACAACCCTACCCATAAACCCTATAAATCTTGAACACTCACATCTTTCAGGAATACAGAATTACAGCATTTACAGTTCAGTTTCTTATTCTCTTTCTTCTTTATGAATTCTTTCACTCATCAGGTAATTTAGGTACCTGCGAACACAAAACTTCAAACGCTTCAATGTACTCATCTGCCAAAGCTTGTTTTAGATCAGTGAGCTCTTCGAACAGATTGTTAAACCAATAACCATCATACCGCAGCATCAACACTGGTTTAAACCTGTTCCAAGTCAGTTCTTCCTCCTCTCTTATCAAATTGAACCAGTGAATAGTGTTTCCCTCCATTCTTAAGCGAGATAGCTTGACCTTCAAATCATCCACGTTATTGTGGACCTCGAAGTATGTTTCAGCACGAGTGATCCAGCCAATTGGATCGACGCCATCAAACATTGGCAGCTCTACCTTCTTCACCGATGAACAATATTCAACCCAGCTGTCTCAGCCCTGATCGCCAAATGGAGAAGAGATTCACTGACATTGATCGCCCTTCTTGTCATTCATTCTAGAAATTTCACGCAAAAATGATTGTTGAGTTTTTGCCATAGCAGAGCTCAACGACAAGCGCAGCACACAAATCACATTCTTGACTGATATTGCCTCAACTTGAGCCAAGCGTGAATCCAATGCATCAATTCGATCAGACATCTTTAGGGGCATGCGTCAAGTCTGGCAGGTCAAACCAATTGATAGAACGCCAAAAGAAGAAAATACAGAAACAGTTTATTACTGGAAGAAAATAGTACAGCAATATACTACTGAAAATTCCAAGAGCTTCAGCTCCTCTCACGGTGATTCCCTTACCTCTCACCTCATAGTTACAATTTCCTTACTCCACTTCTCTATCTTCTCCCTCTCTTAAACCCACGTCCCTCTCCTAACACAATTGGCACTCTCTAATTGCCTGCCACACTGGCAGAAGCATGTTTCCTTCTCCTAGAGTAAACCTTCCACGCAATGGGCCTTTTTGGGCCTGTATCAAGTAATTGATCTTTCTCCTTAGAGTCTATGGGCCTATCATTGATGGAATGGAACCTATGCTCCATATGTTTTCTTTTTCTTAGTTGTTTTGTCATTGGCTATTCATTTAGGAAAAAATTTTATACTCTATTGAAATATGTTCACCTTAATGAACTCTCATCAAAAAAATAAAAAGTTGCATATCAATCAAGGAACACAGATACACACAATGTATGAGTGCATAATTTAGACAATGTATGTGATAAATTACTCATATGGCACTTCTCAAGGCTAAGCCGTTCCCTGTAAGCAAATAACTACTTGACATATTACCAAAAATTGATAACCTAGATATCCAAAAAAATTATTTCTAATGCTTCCAAATGATGAGCTTCCATTGATATACAGTTGAATGAATGAACCTGAAGCATGAGCTCCTCCTTTGTTGTGAAGGGAGACCAATCAAGAATTGTTTTCAAGTTTGCTGAACATTCATCCTGTGAGCTATAAATAATGGGCTCAGGCCAATAGCCAGATATGTCAAAATCTATCTGCAAGAAAAAGGAAACTGAATAAAATATGAAAGTATAAAACATTCACTGTTACATATTTAAATATTATTGGAAGGATACATCACCATCGGCACAATTACGTCATCTTGCCCAGTTCTTCGCAGAAAGGTATAGGATAGTAGACCCACACTTTGTGTTGCCCGGCTGCAAAATTCTAAGTTAAGAATTTTGAAGAACAAAGTCTTATCCACAACTAGATGTTACAAATTTATGCTTTGTTTCATTGCATTGACTTAGAAAAGAAAGAAAATAGAAGGAGTCATTTAGTAGAGAAAGAATCAATTTCCCTAATTTGGATGTTTCGGAAGTTAGTGGAAGGAAAGAAAAAGAAATCTGTGGACCCCACAAAATAAAAACCATCTCTCTTGTGCCATGAAAAGTGTACATTAGTGAGGGAAGGAAGAAGGGGCTGCCATGGGATTTTTTATTTTAAATAATATTTTATCCAATATAAAAATTATTAAAAAATTAAAAAAAATTAACTAAAAGATATGGTAATTTTTTATGATTATTATTAAAAAAATTAATATAACTTTTTTTTTACTCCCTTTTTCACTCATTCAAACAAGCAAAAATAACTTTTTACATTTCTTTCCTTCCTATTTCTACATTATATATATATATATAATTTAAGATAATTAAAAATCCAGTTATGCAAACCAATATAAAAAATGTACCTTGAATGCATCGAACGACTAAAAACAATAACATCAGCACCCAGTCTCATGGTACTAGTCTTGAATCCATTGCCATCTAGAATAGAACAAGATGCTACTTAGAAAGAAACTTTAAGTTTGCATCACAGCTAACCACATTCACCCAAAAAATAAGAATGGAAAATTCCTATATAGGAAAAAGCAACAATAATAGACAAGCAACTTAATAGCTCAGGTATATCTTCTAAGGATTTGTAATCATGACAATAATAATTTAAGAAAGCTTAATGTGTTATATGTCGTGTAGATACTTCCATCATTGTTTACATCCTAAAATAAATAACATAAACTTAATTTCTCTGACACATATTGATGACTGGTTTACAAACCTACAGATTGGACTAAGTGATAGAGAAATGAAAAGAACAAAAAATCAAGTAAGGATATAACTAACAATATAACTGGTCGTCTCACCAGAAACATGCACCTTCGAAACTGGCTGGTTCTTTTTTATCTTTTTCATTTTCAATTGATACCAATAATTACAAAAACATCACATTGTTTTCATCTTGTTTACTATTGTATTCCTCCATAAAATCTTGTAAATTGGATATTGAGGTGAAAACAAAGCAGCATTTTGTAATTATTAGTGAAAATATATCAACTGAAAATTAAACAGAACAAATTGAACACCTTCTTGAAAGATATAAATGTGTAAACAACAGAAAAGAATACTACCATTAGTAGACTTCTTTAAGTCATATGCGGAAAAAGAAATGAATAAAATAAATTCAGTTACACTGTCCGATTGTTGTCTTTGACTTCTTTGAGGAATAACCCAAGCTCATGCATTTCCGTATTGCATTAGGATCCATTCCACCACCATCATCTGCACAGGAAATACATGATCCAGTAAGCCCTTGTCTCCAATAATTAACCTATCAAGCCAACAAAAATTAATAAAGCAGTAGAGATTTTGTATGTCTGGATAGCATACCTAGGAAACATAACGCTGGTGAATTATCCTTCATGATATCAAGCTTATCAATCTTTACAAAAGTTGCACCGGATTGAATCTAAAAATACAAAGGCAAATTCAGTAATAGTCATGTCTATAAAAACAATTTTTAAAAAGCTTATTAAAAGTTCCATGATAGTGGCTGCCCTTGGTTGGAGGTACGTTTTGCAAGCATGCAAGTCATTTTCCAGTTTTACAACCTAACAAATAAGACTAAGATATTTTTAATTCAAAGTCAAACTATTCATACACCATTCAAACTATAACTCACGTTCCATTGAAAGTATAACATTTTTGAAACTATTCATGCACCAGGGACATGTCTAAGAGACTAAGACCCTAAAGGAGCAAGAAGAAACCAACCCTCAGGATTCCTGAAATCTCCAACTGTGAGTATTTCTTCCTGCAAGGAGGCTACTCAACAGTCTCAACTAACCCCTAAATACTAATGGATTTTCCAAGGAGGAATCATCACCAAGCACAACAACTAGTCAAAGGGAATACAAACCCATGCACACAGAGAATACAAACTTTTATCCAATCCATCAACCAGATGAGCCAATCCATGTTGGTATTCCAGCCTTGAGAAGTCATAATATAAAGCCAACTAAGAGAACAATTAAAGCATACAACAAAGCTCAAGTACTCAACCATATTTTTTCACATTGATTTAAAGGTATTATCTCACTTACTAGAAAACTGTAAATTATTTTTTACTTAAACTATACCTCGTCAACAGCATTATCCACCAGCTCAGCAATTGCTGCCAATAATGAAAAGCATGTATGAATAAAAGAGTAATGCATCATATAGTGAAATTCTGTCAATAGTTGTCACAAAACATTTAAAATCAAAAAAGTGTTTATTCAACATCTAAATGAAGCATTAAAATATTCCAAACACTATTCTTGCTATCCAAAATTGCCTTAAAAAATCATTTGTATTACTAAATAAAACCCTCCAAAGTCTTAGGAACAAACTCAGACAGCAATTTGAAACTTCAATTCAATAAGATATGAACAAGTCTTTTAACTTCTTGGATGCACACAGAGGGTCTTCAAATGCTTGCTATTTTCCTGGTTAAAATTTCATAAAGCCTGAGAGCATAAGTTGTGTCGCGCTCTAGCTTTGCTAAGCAACCAAACTCATGGGTAGTAGCAACTTACAGTAGTAGCATGAAAGATCTAACCCTATCCTCTAACTAAACAAAACTACAAAAGCAACCAATCAATGGATTGGGTAGTAGCAACTTGCAGGGTTAGCATGAAAGATCTAACCACTATCCTCTAACTACACAAAACTACAAAAGCAACCGTATGTATCTTGGCAAACAGAAAACTACATGCCAACCATGGCCAAAAAAAAAAAAATGTCAGGGAGAAAATTTCCCCATCACTCAATTGAAGTAAATTACACACCAAACCAGACCAATTAAAACAAGTAACATTGTGATTGGATTGTACAGATAAAACTTTGGACTTTGCACTATAAGTTGAATGGATTTTGCAGATCAAATTTCATGTTTGGAACAACTATCAAATGAGGTAATTTGCTTTGTGACATTTAGTCAGAATATGTAAAACGGTTAAACTAATGAAAGAAAAATCAACTATTCAAATAACTAAAACAGAAATCAAACCAAAACCTATACACACAATTTGAATCAAAAGGATTTAAAAAAAAAAAATCCTATGCATAGAAAATTGCAAAAGTAAATGAATTATTATCTAAAAAATATTCAAACAAAGAATTTTATTCATAAACCAAATCAAGTCCCAAAATTTGTTCAAATACAAGAGCCAAAGAAATCACACCTCCAAAAGCCCATTTATGAGAAGTTGCATTAGAATGCAGAAACTTGGGATGAACCCGAGCATGTTCCAAGTGACCTGCAATTGGAGTGAGAACAGTAAGGTGGTAGTTGGAAGTGAGATTTTGAAGGGAAACACAAGGGAGGGTAAATTTGTTTTTTTAAATTAAAAGAGTCATATAATATTTATTAAAAAAAAAACAACGGGATATTAAGTTTATGCTAATTTATTTATAAATAAATTAGTGAACAATCATTAAAAATGACAATTTTACCTTTCTTTCCATTCTCTTCAAAATTCAACTGTCAAAAATATCCTAAAGTACATATTAATGAAAGGATTTGAAGAGAGTGAAAAATTAGTGAAGTAATATTTAATTTGGTAAACCATTTTCAAAATGAAAGAGATAAAATGAAATATTAACTCATAACTTTTCAATCATCCATTATTTATTTTCAAAATACTTATAACTCTATCAACCCTTTCCCTCGAAGGCCCTTAATACAAACATAACATAAGGGTGTGTTTAGGAGTCATGTTTTGGATGGGATGGGAGGAAAAGACAAAATTTTTAATTCGAACTAATATTCTTTAATTTCATATGTTTTTTTAAAAGTTAAAACTGTAAAATGACAACTTAAGACAAACTTAACGTGTTAATATTTTATTTACTTTAGTAAATATTATATCTCGTAAAATTTAAAAGTAAAATATTTGTTTTCCTCTCCCTTCTCTTTCAAAATGGAACTCCCAAGCGTATCCTTAGAGAATGGTGAGAATGGTGAGAATGATGCAAATTACAATTATAATTAAAATTTTAGGGGGGAAATAGAGCATAGGGCCAAATATTGAAGACCTTGAAAGGGAGCTGGCTTCGAAGAGGGCCCAACAACGTAATCCCCTGCTTTCCAGAAACTTCTAGAAGCAACGTTTTGGCTGTGGGATACCGACGGAGCTGAACTTGACGCAGGGGTTTCTTGTTGCACAAGCTCAACTTGTTGCGATGAAGCCTTCTGGGACGACGACGTGTCGTTTTTTGGAGGACCTGCCGCGACGACGGCTTCGTCGTCGCTATCAATGTCAACGATGGGGACGTCGTTTTTCTCTGTTTTGGGAAGCATGCAAATGGGAGCAGAATCAAGGCCAAATTATTTACCAAAATAGATGAATTCAACAGTGTCGAATGTAATTATTTAAATTTTGATTACCAAAATATCCTTTATGCTGCTTTCTTCTCATCATCTCTTCTTGTTCCAGTGCTGTGCTCACCTTGCTTGCGTCTTCTGTGTTCTTCTCTGAGCTTTTTATTATTATTATTTTATTTTTTGTTCAGCTGCTCTTCTGTCAGTTTGAGTGTAAAGGACTTCAAAAGTAGCTGCTGGTGATGCCTATTGTTTTCGGTCGATGGGTCTACTAATGCTGTTGATGGGTCTGGGCCTAGGCCCGATAGTTGTTTGTTTACTATTTAACTTTGATGATGGAAAAAAAAAAAATCAAACTCTCATTTTAGTTCCTCAACCGGTAAATGTTGAATATTTTAATTTTTAAAATGACACATTAATCTCTTATTTTTATATTTGACGGGCATCTTAGTTTCTACACTTTAAATAACATGAACAAAGAATAACAAAATGCTAATATATGTAGAAGATAATTTAGCAAAACTGACATTATTTCACATATTAAAAAAGTTATACCCTAATTATATAAATGTTCACCTTCTCTTCCCATCATAACATGCAAACTATCATGAGAAGAGAAGGAACATATTTTATGGTATTTATGTAGAAAATGATTCTTAGTGAGCAATCAAGGAGAGAAAATTTGAAATCAACAATTTATTTAAAAAATATTTTTTAAGAACAAGAAAACATGAATCAGGTCTCTTTGCAAAATACTTTATCTGCTCTAGTAAAATTGACTTTGACTACATAAGTTGAGAAAGAAAAACAATGAAAAGTTATAAGAAATATGAAAAAAGTTTCACGTCTATTTTACCTTTATTTTATAAGAAGTTTTGGAGCTTAATGGGATGATTTTTACAAAATTGTAACGAATGTTTTCTAATTATGCAACTTTAACTTTATGATTACTGAAAAATCCTTTATTTTTATTCTTAAAGTTGATCCCCTTCACCTAAATGAGTTTAGGCCTATCAACTTATGTAATATGATATACAAAGTAAATTACAAAGGTTTTAGCACAGTAGTTACAACCTTTTCTTAATGATTTGATTGACCCCTTTAGAGTAGCTTTTTGCTTAAAAGTAGAATAATTAATAATGCATTGATCCTTGAAGAGATATTTCATAGCATGAAAAAAAGTAGGAGTAAAATAAGCTCATTGGTTTTCAAAATTAACCTAAAGAAAGCTTATCATATATTGTGTTGGGAGTTTTATGAGGAAACTTTGACCTTCTACACCATTAAACTTATCATATTTTGTGTAAAAGTTGCGCAAATTTTTATCTTACAAAATGGTGCCAAACTCCATACACATAATGAATAGGTAGATGAGATTTTTATAATGCATATATTCAAAGTCAACTTAAAGAAATCTATTATGAAATGCTCAAAACCGAGTCTCAAGGAGCAATACTAAAAGATTATCTAGGTGTAATTCCATTTTTCTAGTGACTTTGGTATATATTTTGGATTTCCTTTAATTCAAGGAAGAGTGCACTTTTATCATACGATAGAAAAAAATCTAGATTTATATTTCTTCTTGAAACGGCAAGCTATTAAATAGGACAAGGTTTACCTAGCTAAATTCACGGTTGTCTTTACCATGTATATTCCATGCAACTTTATTCATTACCTCAAAGTATTTGTAATGGGATAAATAGAATCATTAAACAATTTATTTGAAAAACATGTAACCAATGAATAAGTATACATATCATAAAGTAGAATATTTTAACTTGTCCAAAACAAGCAAGAAGGGTAAATGTTAAACAAAAAATTATTATCAACTAAATCATCATTTTAGCCCTTAAAATAATAAGTGTCAATTAGTTTTTTAAATTTTAAAAATGTCATAGTCCCTTGTTTTTATCTTTGTTCATCGTTTTAATCTTTTGACCCACACATCATTAACACATAGTAGTAAAAATGTTGACATGTTATGTTAAATAATATGTATGATTGATTACATAACAAAAATAACGTTGTACAAGACATGATATATATATATATATATATATATATATATATTTATTTATTTATTTATTGCATTTTATTCCATAAGATTGTCACCCATCAAAAATTTTAATTATTTTTTCTTAAAACCTTCTATCTTTCATCCTTTTAACACCACGATTGCCAACAACAATATGAAGCTCTTCTTTATCCAAGTTCTCTACTTTAGATTTTCATATCTATAATGTTTCTCTACTTTCTCTTTGTCACCTTTAAAATTGAAACTTTTCTTGCTCTTGAAACAAGATATTTGTTGGTATCTTCATTGTTGGTGAGTGAACTCCAGCACACCTATCACACTGAAGCCTCAAACTTTTCCTCAAAAGAGGCTATTAAGGTGGTTCAAGGTTCAATGCATAGAAAAATAATGCAAGAATAAAGAGCATCACATAGTGGTAAGAACCATTATTCATTATAGCATGGTCATTCATTTGCTCCATACATTTGCTTCATTCATTCATTTTTGCTCAATACCATTTCTATTTAGGCATTCATTAACCTGTAGTAAAAAGCACCACATATGTTGCATTTTAGAATTTGTTGATTTTAATTTGTTAGGTCATTTTGTTTAATTTTTTTATTTGTAAAATCAATTATAATATGATTGCTTGCTTCTTTTTCCTTTCATTTTTGTTTTTTAAATGTTTGTTGTGAATTGTGATTCTAAAAAATACATGTGAATGCTTATTTTTATTTGAAATCATTGTATCTAAAACTATTTTATAGGACATAGTCACAAATTGAAAAAGTATGAATGAACAAAATACTACTTAGAGAGTTATAACTTAAATGGCTAGTGCTTTGACTCTAAGTACAACAAGTGCTAGTGTTCTCACTCCAATAATTATAACTATATTATCCAAATCTTTTGGTCCCACTGTTTCTACTCCATCAAAAGGTATGAAAAGGAAAATTAGTACACCTGCATCTAGTGCTAGGAACCATTTTTAAATAGTGAGTAATGAGGCCTTTTGTAATTATTATAATGAATCATGTCAATGTAATAGTAATAGTCATAAGACTACAAGTTTGTTAAGAATATTAAAGTTTGTAAAAAGAACTAGCATAAGAAAGTTGATATCAAGCTAACAATAATTGTACTTGAAAAGTAAGTATAGTATGATAATATTGTTTCTTTAAAGTTTGTAAAATTTAACCATAAAATATGTAGAAATGAACTTGCAAGAATGACAAGCAAACTTTATAAAACATCCATTGAAAAAATATTTTTAAAGCAAAATGATATTTAAAATCAAGTTTGTACTTAGGAGTCATTTACATGTGAGGAATGTATTAATACCCTACAAAGTTTGTTTAAATAATATTTACTTTAAATTAATTGTACAAATTTATTATAATTTTTAAAATACTCTCAAACTATAGTTTTTACTATTCTTTTTTTTAATTAAGTTTATTTACTGAAAATATTAATTGATATTTTAGAAAGAAAAATTTAAAGTCATATAATTATATTTAAAAATAATTAAAAAAACTTTATTTTAAAATCAAATTTATTTTACAAAATACATTATAGTGCTTAGTATACAAAAAAAAGTATGCCAATACATATTATCTTATGATAAAACAATATTTAAAAGTAAAAAAACATTATACAACTATATTATAAATTATTGTAAAATTTAAAAATAAATTAATTATAAAAATAAGGTATTTAAATTTATAAAAATAATTATTTGAGTACTTTTATTATAAAATTTATAATGCAAAGAATTTAAGATAGTTTAACTTATACATAAATTCACATAACTTATACAATGTCAAAGGTCAATATAAATTAAACATTGACATTGTAACGGGTGTTTCGAATAAAATAATTTTAAGTGGTTAAAGAATTAATTAAATCATAAATGTAGTTTATATCTTAATTTAATTTAATTAACTGTTTAACTAATAAAAAGGAGAACTATTTAGAAACAAAAATATAAAGTATATCATAGTAAATAATTAAATGATTTAATAAATTAAAATATGTTTTAATTTTTAAATAAATTTATATTTCATGAGACCTAAGGAAATATAAATAACATAGTTTTTAAAAATTTATAATACATAAAGAGATGTTATATATTAATATTACAAATTATTGCAATAATTAATGAATTAATATGATTTTAATTTAGTTGATAAATTAGCAAATAAATTATTTAGGGTACTTTATAAACCATTGATGGGGTAGAATTTAGTTTATACAATTCTCGGTGGTGGTCTCACATGATTGAGACACACAGTTAGTTTTAGGATGAAATTAGTGAGGCGGTGTTAAAGGTTTTGGTGCTTCTCTCTTTACCTTACATTTAATTTTGACTTTTATTGCATTTTTACTAAGTATTTTAGTTACATTTGAAGTTCTTAGTTGTTCTATTAAGACTTATTTAAAATTTTAATTACTTATTAAGTGATTTATTGTTTACTAAGTTTATACGATACAATGATGTTAATTATGACCTATTTGTCTATATATACATGTTTGCATAGGTTGCAAATCAACTTAGTGAAATGAACATTCACGCTTCTTGATTCACCTTTCTTAGTATAACACACAAAATTAATCTACGTGTATGGATAATTAATTGACTATGTGTATATAGAGTGTAACATTAATAATCAATCAATAAACATATGTTTAAACATACCTAGTATACATGAACAAATAAATTTAGAATTCAATTTGTTATAATTTCATGACAAGAAAATAATAACATAAATTTGTTGACCACTTCATATTAGACAATTCACTTGTTGATTTTTTAGATAAAAGTGCTCTCACTCACCAGAGGCAACCTCTAACATAATTTGAAAACACTTCATGTCTTAAATTGTTGACTTTGATTTAATTGTAAAAAATTTTAGTGGATCTTTATTAAATAGTACTTTGGTACCTTTTGAATAATATCTTTTGTTTTAAATTCTAACGTAAAATATATTTATACGGTAAATTTAATCTTGAAAATTTCATATATTGATTGAAACGATCTCAATTAATGTATTTATACGGTGGATGAGTTTTAAAATGCAATTTGTTCTTCCCTTTTGTGTAAGTTGTTATATTCTATCAACTTAATGTATAACAATATCATGTACAATGAATTTGTATAAAGTCTCATCATGTTATGATGGATTCACCAACAAAATTTGACAAAAGAATTAGAGCAACAAAAGATAGCAAAT